TATTTGTCTGTGTGTCAAAGCAGGAGGAGAAGAGACAATAGGGTGTTTGGGAATAGTCTGAGTGTAGTCGAACTACCGCATGACGCGTTCGGGCAGATGAGGAGTAGTGAGACACGATTTGCAGGACAATCATCTAGAGTATAACACTATCTCGTGAAATGGAAGCGTCTCACGGTGATCAACATAGTTGTTGAAGTGCATGTCCTCGGCAACCAAACAGTCAAGATAGACTCTAAAAGACCCGGTTCCTGGTTCTCTATAAGCGGGGAAAAACAACAGCACGTGGCATATCCTTAGTGTAAGTCGCTACACTCACCCAGCCGAAGATGCGCGAGAAGTATTAAAGGATTCAAGCCGAAAATGAGAATTTTGGAACAAACGAATTATTAGAATGGCTTTGCATAGAAGAAATGAAAATGACAAAGAAACATTAAAAAACCAATAATTATCACCATTAATAGTGTGATGTTGCATGTGACCTGCTTCATCTTCTATATGCAACCCTTTCTCAACTTCGAGTACATGTAGACCAATCAAGTTTCCCCCAGTTGCATTCATGGATCCGATCGAAAATTTCAAAGTATCATAGGTAGACGACATCTGTATAAGTGGAACTCTTGTCCACAAAAATTATAGTGCCAACCAAATATAGCAGGTATGCTCTCATAGCATGTGATCTGTGGAGTGCCACCTGCTCATCATCACTTGTAGCCTGTTGTGCTCTCGGGATCTCAGTTGTATATATATTTTTCAAGTATTCAAACCTTGCATGAGTACCCCTAATTTTATCCAACTCCTCCTTCGCCTCCCCTAAATCATCCTCCAGACAGTCTATCATCATCTCAAGTGTCTCATCTTTGGCAATCCTCATATGATCTAGAAGTCTCCCCCTAATTGGAAGATGTAGCAAACACGAGACATTGTCGAGTGTGATAGACATCTCACCATCCGGAAGATGAAATGACGAGGTCTCCGAGTGCCATCTCTCCACGAATGCATTAAGCATCTCGTGGTTGACCGTAGTATAACCGGTCATGCACAAGTCCTTCAGGACAGATAAGGACAAAAGTGTCTGAAATCAATCCTCATTCGGCTGAGGTAAGCCAGTAATCTTTCGCCCATGGTTAATAAACTTTTGCAGATCACGCTCCTGAAAAAAATAAAAATCAATGTCAGAAATTTGATAATTAAAATTAACGTAAATAAAAAAGTATGAATCCAATTAATGCTACTTATTTGTCCTAGATATGTCTGGCAATATGGTCTGGATATAGAGGCAATAATGACAAATCTACAGGGCCTCCTCCAAATGCCTCTGCCTTAGCATTCGTAGTAGCCTCGCCCTCAGAAGGTGGCACTGGATTAGCAGCATCAGTAGTATAAGGTGGCACAGACTCAGAAGCATCTACAGTAAGAGATGACACAGGTGAATCGAATACCTCAGACATCTGAATAGTGGAAACCTGACGTCTGCAGGAGGATGAAAGGAGTGATGCGTCAGTAGGTGAATCTCATCTCCTACGGGAAAAAGAAGATATAGTAGCATGAGGAAAAACACAAGCCCTAGAAGTAGATGGTTCTACATGAACAAAGGGATTAGGAGCCTCTGAAACTTGCTGACTGTTCTCCCGCCACACTGATACGTGTTGTGCAACCCTCGTGTACTTCAGTCTATCGCGTATATTAGTCATTATGCATGTAAGTTAAAGTAAAGCAGACAATTAGTGAAGGCAAACAACACCGCAAGAAAGAAAATAAATAAAATATTGAGAAAATTCAGGAGATGTGTCTCTGAAATCTGGGAAACTAAAACGTTGAAAAATTCTGAAGATGCATCTTCGAAATTATTTGCAACTCAGCAACTTCGTCAATAGGGGCAATGTACCCCATGCAATCCCAAAAAAAACATGTTTTAATCATCATATTCAGCCAACAAACGTGTAATAGACTATGTCTAAACTATCATACATGCAATTTCTACTCATTTCTAACCCTAATGATCAATTTTTACTTATTTACACAAAAACTCAAATAAATTACAAATTTCAATGTTCCTTCAGGGTTGGATGATATTTCTGATGTTGATTGAAGTTCCCTTGAGCTTTGTTGATTTATTTTTGACTTGGTGAAGAGAAAAAGGTTGAGAGAGATTGAAGTTGTTTTTGAGCAAAATGAAAAATGAGGAAGGAGAAGGGTCTAACACGATTTAACCTCCAAAATATTTCGGAGATGAATCTCCAAAATCTAAAACATTTTTGTATTTTCACGTGATAGCTAAGAAACTTAAAAGATGCATTAAGAAACTCCATTTAGATAACTATTCCAACCCACTACAAGATCCTTAACTATTATTTCCTCACTAAGAAGATCAACACATCTAACAAACTATAGCTTTCAAGTTCTTAAGCTCCTTAATCCTTATCTAAGAAGATACACCTTAATAGGTTTGCCAACCATGGAAGCAATGGGCCGAAGCAAACTTTCATCACAATACACTATTAATGGTAGTTATTGAAGCATTAAAAGTTGGCATCCATTGTCTTAAAGCTAGATAATGATCATAAATCATCCAAGATCCATCATTGATCACCTTTATTTTATCTTCTTCCCCATAAAATTTGATCATATAAAAGGAGTTACCAATATCCATCAAACTCATCTCCCTTTATAGGTTCCAGATTGTGTGCAAATTCTTTTTCATTATGTTAAACCCCAAACTCTTATCCAGAAGTTTGATGAGTAGTGCATATTTCCATAGTGTTGATAACTCTTACATGATCTTTGAATGCACATGTAGCATATGCAATATCATATTCTCTTTAGTCAATTCCACTCTTGCCAAATTCCCTGTTAAGATATCAGTATGTTCCTTCGTGGCCACGAATAGTTTACCAAAAACCTTTTATGCCCTTTTAGATGAGTTTGTCTTAAACCTATTTAATTGATCTAATTTGTTGAGTACTGTTATATATAGTTGTAATGTTTTTTATGATTCGATAAAAATTAGATTTTTGTTTTGATTCATTGATGAATGAGTTGATTGATTCCAAATTATGCATAAGTATTAACTCAATTGTATCTCACTTTATTGTTCAACCTCTAATTTTGTTAGATATGGGACATTTGTTGCTTGTGATGTCGTAATTAACAATTCAGCAAAAAAATTTCGGTCACGAACTCACCCAAGACAATAAGGGGTTGCAATTGAAAAAGATTACGCAATTGAGGGTAACTATTTGGCTAATTAATTGTGATAATTAGAAAAGCAAGTATATGTTCAAATAGAATTATCAAACAAGATTAGACAGTGATTTCAAAGGGAATATAATGATTTTAATCATTAGAATGTGTGGGCATGCGGGCACTACATATTTTAAGGTTAAAAATATATAATTTATGTTAATGTCAAAAGCTCGAAAAAATAAGACGGACAAACACATTAGAGAGTGCGGAACTTTTAGATCACTCCGCAACAGACATGTCCAATGAACCGAGTACGTTTTGTCACCCCTACATATAATATTATAATCAAGTGACGACTAGAATTTCAAACTCTCTCACACATATATCATAGACGTTCCTTTTTATCTCACGTGAATCTTTAAAAAGATGCACCTATTTGAAAAAATTACTTTCTAACAAGGAAAATGCGTTTTTTCCACTTCTAAATGGATCAATATCAATAAAATTAAAAAAAAAACTAAGAGTCTCTTCCAGCTTAATCAGAGGTGTTGGGTTCGAACTCATCCCCGAACATGTAGCAATATTAAATCTCTTTAAAGAGAGTTTTGCCGTCTATTATAATCTTTTAAGACTAGAGGGTTCGTCTTTCCAATTGTGTGCAGAGGATACGCGTGAACTCTAAAGACGCTGTCTTCTAAGACTTGTGGGTGCTTTTGCATCAAATGAAATGGCATCAGTAATGCATGTTGAAACACCTTACGAGGATGTCTCAGTCTTTTTTAGTTGTCAGATATTTTACTTTTAATTACATCAGAAAAAAAGTATCATAATAATCAAAGTCAAACCCAAAAATAAAACAAATAAAATCAAACTATGCATATGAGAAAAATTCAAAAGTTAACTTCTGCTGACTAAACCAAAAGAACATAAAATTGATTGCATTTTATGTGCAGCCGAAGTTTAAATTCCAAACTTTATGATAATTATTAATTTTTCACTTGGTCAGTTGAACCACTTTTCCAAAACCCAGTTGAAGGCTTGAAACAAGCCTGGTTTTAACATATACATATATATAATTGCAAGGCTATAAAACACGATCAATCATTATTATAACTGCTTAATTATGTGTTCCCTTAAATGACAAATATGGGTTGAGTAGGCTGGCAGGGAGAGAAAGGGTTGAGAAACGGTTCTAAAGGTGAGAAAGAAGGAGAAACAATGAACGTCTTTCAATCGTTGTGAGCATGCAAGGAAGAGAGAAGAAAGGAAGATAATAGGAGATGAAGAAGAGAAGTTGGTTGGAGGAAGAAGAGGAAATTATGTAGCTGGAAAAGGATGGAGTATAACAATAGAAACACTTGAGAAAAACACAAAAATTACTCAATTGGATTAAAAACTCTGGATTGAGAATACAACATAATGGCATATTTTGGCCAAAATACAAGAATGATTTAAAAAATAAAGGAGGTAAAGAGAAGGCAGTGATTTCACCACCTTCCTATTCCTTAAGACTCAACTTTTACCAATCACAAAATCTACACCCCTACTCTACATTATGTTAGCAATCTAAAGAAATCTAAAGAAATTATAAGAGCAATGGAGATGAGAAAAGAAAATGATTTAGGGAGAAAAGAGTCAGGGAGTGCGAGATTATCAACAGTAAATTAGCAATCAAAGCCACCATTACAAGATAATGAAGATCATCATCTATCTGCATATAAAAAATCCTTCCAAATTCAGAACCCTTGTCTCTAATTTACTTAGCAACCATCACTACCCCAGTTCTTGTTGTCCGGGATCCTTAACATTGTTATGTTTCATATATTCTGCAACTGAGAATAAGAGATCCGGATTACCGAGCCGGACAGTGAGGTGGCATGCTTGCACACAAGGGCTTCCGTAGCCTGCTCCTCGGTCTCAAACTGAACCAGACCTTGTTTCTTACCATTCATCTCAAAGACTTTGCTATTGACAATGGTTCCATGCTCCTCTAGAAGGGTCACAATCTCCTCCTCAGTGATGTCTTGTGGAAGTGTGGACAAATGGATCATCTTTGTTGGGGAGCAGCAATAACGGTAATTTTTAGCAGCATTTCGGTTGAAACGGTTAAGATTTGAGTTGCTGTAATCGTGTGTGTCAGCACCTTGGGTTATGTTTGGATGCTTTGAGAAGTTCACCTCAAGTCGCTTATCAAACAACATGGCTCCCTACATGTCAATGTTGAAAATTTATCGCAATCTTTGAAATCGAAAACCAGGTAAGCAAGGTGGACATGAAACAAACCTTCAGAAAGTGTACTGCCAGTTCAGCTTGGAAACCATCTCCCATCTGGATAAGTGCATGATCTGGTTTATTGCGTAGAAGTTTAATTCTCACGATGTTCCCGTAAAGGGAGAACAAGTTGAACAGTTTGTCCTCGTCGATTCTCTGAGATAAACAAGTTTCAAGCTGAATAGGCTGAGATAGGGGGGGATTAGATAGAAGACAGAGAAAGCACTTACCTCAGGATTAAGATTTGAGACAAGAAGAGTACATCTATCGTTTGTCCCGGTTATTCCTGGAGGCAAACCTCCCCCAAAGGCAGCTGCAATGGCGGAAGCATTGGGCATCTACAGTTTAAAAAACAATTGTTAGACGATTTAACCTTCACAAGGAGCGGTCAACCATCACTCATTTTTAACAGTGCTTCTCATAAGCTACAAAATTATAATAACTCAACATCCAACCATGCCAGTATAACATCAAATCGGGGGCTTAAACTTGATCTGAAAAATACGCACCTGCGGATATCCACCTGGAAGGAAGGGGAAAAGGATATAAATTAGTACACTAACAAATAACACGATCTGAAAACAAAATAAACCATCCAAAGCAGTTAAATTAAGCACCTGCTCTGGCTCCAGAACCCTGAACACCATACATGTTTCCTGCATCACCATATCCAGCCTATTTCACAGAAGATATAGAGTAAAAAATTGCTTATTAGAATGCACTTCACAAATATCAACAAGATGTGATTCATAAATAGATAATTAAAAAGCCAAACATAACATACTTGAGAAGGTCTTCCTTTCTGTTCTGTAGGGAGACTAGGGTTTGTGAAGTCTCTGCAAAAGATGCGAAGTCAGCATAAACTGTGATGATAAAAAGTGATCAAGTGATTAAAAAAAAAGAAGAGAAAAAGACACTGAATCACCTTGATCGGTCATTATTGTAGTTCACTTGTAATTCATCAAGGCTGTAAATGAGACCAATTAAATGTCCATATAAGAAATTAAAGTAAATAAGAGAAAGGAAGCAGGTTCAGGTGTTACAAATTGACTCAAACACAAGCATAACATAAGTTAGATAACAAACAAAATAAACCCAAAAGCCAAAAACACATAAATTATTTAGAGAAATTTAACCTACTTTGAGAATTGAATGTCCAGCTGACAGCAACCATCATAAATATTGCGACCCTAGAAATTTCCAAAATTTCAATTAATATTTAGAAACAAAACTAGAAGTAACTAGTCCTTTTAAATCCCAAACATAAAGGAAATGTTAAAGAACCTGAAGTGCAGTTCTCGCAGTAATAGCACTCTGTTGTGATTGGTACTGGATGAGAGCCTGAAAGCCTACAAAGTGGGCAAACATATGATAAAACAATTAGTAAAACACATAACTTAATGATGTTAAATTAAAATTTTATGAAACTTCACACAAACTTATTGACGTGCATAATTATTGTTCAACAGTTGGATCAGCAATATCATTTCTTTCTAAGTTATTAATGGTGTCACAGTGTCCAAGTATTAATGGGGTGAAGGTGTGTGCGCCCGTGCGTGAGTGTCTACTTGAATCAGACAAAAGTATTGCATGGTAAAATATTATCCCAATCCACTCAGTTAAAATTCAGAAAAACTTAAAACAGAAAGAAAGAACAGAAAGGGAGAAATCTGAGAGAATCTGACCAGCTGACTTCTGAAATGTCACAATCTTTTCCACAGATCCATGAGGAGAAAAAACTTGATATAGTACATCCACTGTTATGGGATAGAGCACGTGATGAATTGTAACTAAGAGAATTCGGTTTGGCTGTGCATCCAGAGGGTTCCAAACAGCAAGACAGCATTGAGAAAGAGAAGAGATAGAGAGAAAGGAGAATAAATAGAGAAGTTTATGATAAAGAGAAAATGATAACTATAGATTCATAAAATACAAATTTTACACACTGAGCCCACAGAAATGTAATGGCCTGAGATACTGATACAAAAAGATGTAGGGGGGTATATCTCAGAGAAAACATAAAGTACAAATCCAATTCTGTATATTTTGTAAGCAATCAACAGGATGAAGCATGCAATTTTCAGTTCTGAAATGTAAACGAAAAAATCTAACCTCATCTCCTCGTCCTTGACTTTGATCTACTGTTGTTAGCTCTTGATGAGAAGAAAACTGGACATAAACATTCCTCCCCCTAACATAAAACATAAAGATAATTAGATTATTCGGGCAATTTTAATATCAATCGGAATAGGTAGAGCATTGCAATCTCTGTATATGATGTCAAAGATCAAGATATCAAAACAATAGTCATGGAAATCATGTAAAGCAAGCTAATTGAACCTTATGCTAGGTTGAGTATTTGCATAAAATTGTAAAGAACTTATTGCAGAAGGAACGTCTTGCATTTGGATAAGTGCCTGCAAATTCAGCACACCAATTGTAGTATTGTACAAATAAAAACATGATGAAATGAAGCACCTTAAAATTCCAAGGAATATGAGCACTTTTAATCAAAGGTGTGAAAGAGAAAACCTGATTTTTTGCACGCAACATCACAAGCTTTGTTATGACTCCAAAAGGTTGAAATAGCTGAAGTAAATCATTCTGCAATCAAAAGGGCAAAAGTTACAAATCTTTCAGGAACTTCTGAAACAAAGAGCTCAAATAACATTTCAGTGTAATAACATAAAAATAGTGCCTATAATTTAACTGCAACATAGTTCATTTTTTGCTAACCGCTAATACGTCACATTAAAATCTAAACTCATGAGTTCAAATATTAATTCCAACTCCATTCTTATCCAATCACATGGACAGAAAGCTGCAATGGAGTAAAATGAATGCCAATCATGGTCTAAGAAAAAGTGATAAAATAAAACAAGCACACACACTGAGAGAATATGCTGGAGCCATTCAGTGAAAGGACCGCATATCTAGGCATAAACTGACACCAATATGAAGGCCCCGTCAAATGGACAAAAGAGAAAGAATAGAAGCAGAACAAGAGACAAGATCTACAGATTTAGAATAAATCTCATCTTGGCATTAGAGCTAACAAAATATGGTCACAAATCGCAATCATATTGGATTCCATTGAAGGATGACCCTTAAGAAGAAAGTTTCTAAGATATTAATTTCCTGAGATATGGTTTCCACAATAACCCTTAAGACGGAGTTTCTAAGACATTAATTTCCTGAGATATGGTTTCCACAATGACCCTTTTCACTCACCCTCTTTGTCAATGTCAAGTTCGGAAAAAAAAAAAGGCAACAGCAATGGAGCCGTAGCATAGTCATAAGAGTATCATGTTACCAAAACAAATAGGTACAAACAACAAAGACATTCAACAATAGAGAAAGAAAGTGAGAGCCAAGGGGAGTACTTCAGATATTTCGTGCCCCACATTTCGAACATGAATGACTTTGGAAGGTTCCGTCATGGTAAATTAACCTGTAAAAAGCATATAAAAGATTAACAGTAGTTTAAACTAACCTGTAAAAACATCGATAACAACAATCCTAAATCACTTCAAATCATTCTTAACTGTTCAAATTATGTATATCATTATCATCAAATTCACACAGTTCTCAAGTCTGCAACTGAAGTAAAGCAATAAAAATAGACATTTGAAAATGTCACTCTGAAACGGAATAAAACCCCCAAAAAAAGCTTTAAAGAATCACTTTTTCTGATTTTCTTTCAAAAGCAAATTGGACTAAATCACGATGACAATCAAATCACAATGCCAATAGATAAATCTTGAGGCACCACAGAGAAAGTAGAATATAAAGAAAAATGATATTTTTATCTCAAACTCTGATGAAAGTGGCATACCCAATTGGAGAGCGAATCTTAGGAATACGCAAATCAGAGAGCGGTGAAAGAGATTAAAAATGAAAATAGGTCATGTACAAATTTCAGCTCAGAGCCCCAATTTTGCCGTAAATCGTAAAATCTAAAGTCAAAAAGAGAGGAAGAGAGAGAACTTGCCTGAGAGAGAGAAGTGAGGCACGTAGAATGTGGTGAATCTGTTAAGTTAACCCTATGTATGTATGTTAAGTTAGGTTTGTTAATATATGAATGAGTTTGAGATAGATAGATAACCTATGTTTTAATTTAAGGCTCAAAGTTTGAAGATTGGTCCCTTCCTCCACTTTGTATACTTATCCATTTATTTTTGTCTTCTTATTTTGTACATTTATGCCCATAATTGTGCACTAACCACTAAGCCAAGGCAAGGATTAGTTTTGTTTCATTTCATATAAACTTATAGTTTAATTTTAATGTAGACTAACGCTAACATGTAGCTTTGAAGCACAATTTTTTTATAGTAAATTTGTATTAGAAAAAATAATTAAAAAAATTAATTTTATATTTTATATAAAGTTAATATACAATTTTTAATTTGTTAGAGCTGGAAATGAGTCGAGTCGAGTCGAACTCGTCTCAACTTAACTCGACTCGTTAAAAATTGGTTCAGCTCAAATCTCGGTTCGAGTTCGATACGAACTTATTTTTAAGCTCAAACTCGATTTGTTATAAATTCACGAACAATTCGGTTCGACTAGTTAGGTTCATCTTATTATATTCAACTTACTTATTTCACAGATTTAAAAGCCATTTTTTTAAAGTCTATTTTTTCTTATATATTTGATATTTTATATTAATATTATTTTTTTAAAAAAAGTATTAAAATAAAATAAAAGTTATTAGATTGAAATTTAAATTTGTCTAAAAAAATATACTAATTCAAAAATTTATTAATTTATATGATTCTAATTTTATTTGTATAATTATTTTTAAAAATATTTTGCTCACTTGAGAATATAAATTATCAATTAACATCGTTAGATTAAAATAAAATATAAGGTTAAAATTTATATTAAATCGTTAAACCTACTCTTAAAGACAATATAATCTTTCTCATATATAATCGAGTTGCCTCGTGAACTTAACGAGTCGAACTATGTATAGTTCAAGTTCAACTCATTTAGTTAACGAACTTAGTTTTTCGCTAATATTCGGCTCATTAGGTTCATGAACCAAGTTCAACGAATTAATTATCAAACTGAGTTCTGAACTATTTTTGAGTTTGTTCGATTCATTGTCGGCCCTACTTGTATCCCTATGGCACAAATTAGCATTAATATATTATTATGTTATGTAAATTCAATTGTTGAGATTCAAATATCTAACACTCAATTTATTTATATTAAAAAAAAGTGAAATTTTAATTACTAAATTATTTGACTAAAAAATAAATTATAAGTATCTACGCGATATATTTTTGAAGGAGCTATCAATCTCTCAAAATGCAGCAAATTAATGAAATTAATGTGTGAATTGATAGATCTTGTGTTGAGGGTATGCTGCAAAATATGAATCAGAAAAAGATGATGATGACGGTACGATGAAAGTTGCACAAAATAATTTTAAAGCATATGTTTACACTAAGCTTTAGGTTCGATTCGCCTCCACCAATTTATGCAAATTGGATGCAAAAGAGTTAACCGGTGAATCTCCTTGAGGACACTTTGAAAACCTTAACATGAATCGCACATTCACATTAAGCATATCGATCAATGATATTTTATGGAATAAAGTTCCACTATTTATTCTTGTGCACTAGAAAAACAAAATAATGACTTAGATATAATTTTTTTCACTTGAAATAAGTAATTTTCGTGTATATTTTATGCCTAATAAATATCTCTATTTATAGAAAAACTTGTACCAATTGGTGAGAAGAAACAATATTTTATTTGATTCTAACATGAGCAATCGTGAACCATTGTATCTTGATAACAACAAACTTTTTTATGAAAAGTTGTGTTATTCTAGTGGTTGCACCTTTTGACCATACACCCAATCATTATAGGGTCTCTGGTTCTATTCTAGACAGTTGCAATTTTTGATCATTTATTTTGTTTCAAGTGATCAATATAACAAATCTTTACATTGTCAGTACATATCAATTAAATTCTTAAAATAATTATATTTAATTTAATTTGTGATAGCCGGTAAACTATGACTAATTTCAATGAAAAACATGTAAAAATGAGTTATACTTCACAAATAAAATAAAGGTTTAGTGTATTTTTGTCCCTTAAATTAATTTAATGTTTCATTTTCGTCCCTTAATTAATAAACTTTTACATTTAATTCCTTAAAAATCGTTCTATTAATCAAATTGGTCATTTCCATTAAGTTTTATAAAAAAATGTTAAGTTTTGCATGGAAATTGTCACACCATAATTTTGAACCTAAGACTCCACCTCTTTGTGCATCTTCTCGCATAACATCTTTAAGTCGTGTAGTCTTTGTATGTGTGTTTATTATGACTAACAGGTGTATGCAGGTGCATTGATTTCAAGTGTAGATGATATTTATTCTCATAATCAAGATTCCAGGGCATAACCATTTTGATTCAAAGAGCCCTAAGGTTTTCTTCAAGTCTGAATCTCTAGCTTCATTAAAGTTCAATTCAATTGGTTCTCTCATGAAACTAGTGTTATCAAGGATCAGAGGTCACTCCCCTCAAAGTTTCTCCGAAGCTTCCAGCCATACCAAAAGAATCAGGGTTTTCTCTCTGTTGGTGTTGAACGTGATCATTTGAGGATTTGTTATGGTATCGTTGTAAATTTGCTTTCGAAGACATGGTGCATTGACCTCAAACTTGAGTTTGTTGGGGGCTTTAGTGTACTGGGCCACGATTTTTCAAACTTGGTTGCAATATGGCGTTTGTCTTGGACGTATTAAGGGGTTTGACCATCGTTAAGAGTTTCATGGTTTCGTCGAGGTGTTCAAAATCAAATTTCCAAATCCTTGGTCCGATGACATAACCATGATCTTCCCACCATCCAAATATCCAGGCTACGAACCCAAAGGAGTTTTTGGCACAATTACATTTCATGTGATTAAAAATCCCAGAAGAATAAAGCTTCATGAAGTTTAATTCCGATAAAGCGTGCTTATCGATTTCAAGAAGTCATGTTTTATTCAAAGGCCCCAAGTTGCAAGATTAAAAGTATACAAGTTAAGAGTACTTCACTTTATGCAAAGGAGTAAAAATCGACATTATTTCCCAAATTCAAATTTTAATCAGGTTGTGATTCAAACGGCCATATTCTTTGAATTCATGAGTTTATACTTCAATTTACAATTCAAGTGAATAAATCTAAATTTTAGAATATAATTCAAGTTTTGAAAACTGCCAAGATTTAATTCAATTAAAGATTCAAAGTGCAAGGACTACCATTTTAGAATTGTCCTACTTTCTAATTGGTCTCTAAATACAAATCCATATGATGTTGTCTGGGCGATGTCACTAATGTGCATTGAAATCGATACATTTTTCTTAGGATGGTTGGTTATGTTAAACATTACAACGGTACACTCTGATTAAATAATTAAGGCAACCCTCAATTCTTAAAGTCAATGCATGAACAAGGGAGAAATGACTACAGTAGATCTCATACACAGATATTTAGTACACTTCTAGATAGATACTCTTAATGTAGATGTATGATATGCAATAAAATTTGAATTGATTTTGTTAATGGATATAATCTGTAGTTCAAGGTTTACTGTATTTGACATGCGAGTTGAACCTCAAGCTCAAAGTTACAGTTTCAAACACTAATTCCACACGTATCAAGTGTGTGATTGTGCATGTTATTGCCTGTTGGAACTTTAATTAATTAATGGTGGAACTTTAATTAATTATAGTGGGAATTGGAAACATTTGTTGACAATTAATGAGCAATAAATGAACACAAGTGAGAACTAATATAGAAGTGAATTTGAAAAGATTCATTTTAGTCCCACATTGAAGGGAATGGAAATATTAGTAGTGTTTAGATGAATTATTTTTTGGACCTGAATTTATATAATTTAATTATCATTAATTAATTAATATAATTCGGTGGAAAATTAATTAATAATAAATATTAATTAATTAAGAAAATAATTGGTCAGTCAGTCCTCCACGAATTTCTCAGTCTCCCACCATTTTCTCCACTCCCCACGAATTTCTCCCCACTCAGGTGCAGTTTGCTGCCTATAAATACAGGGTAGAAATTCAGAAGTGGGTACATCGGATTTCACAAATTCACACGAATTTTGATTTCCCTCTTCTCTTTCTCATTTCTCTTCATCTCAAAAACTCTCTTTTCTTGACTGGTTATTTTAATCAGATACTTTGAAAGGTGTATTTCTAGAGCGATTTATCAGTGTGCAACTGATAATCGTAAGTTGTTTGAACGGGCTGTTTTATCCTGGAGGCGTCGTCGTAAATTCGACTGCTTTGCATAATTTGGCAGTACGGCGAAACGTCTTAAAGAAAGCGACCTAGTACGCGACTCGTCCCGATAATTTCCTTGTGCCAAACGCTATTTTTTCAAATCCGAAAACAACAATTTTAAGACGTTTTCATAACTG